GGAGATTTACAATCTCTGCGTGATTTGCCAAGGAAAACACGGTGGGAAGAGTCATCTGCTTGCAATGTCCATGGAAAACAAAGCCTGGATTCATTGTCCTGCTCCGAAGTGAACAGAGAACAATTGGCACCTGTTGGGATGAGTCACCTCCGAGGGGCTGGGATGGGCCTGTCCCGGGATTTGGAGCTGCCCAGCGGCTCCAGAGAGGGGCAGGAAGGTCACTGGGGAGGTGGGAGGTCTCCCCCTTCGGGGCTGGAATGTTGGGAAGATGTGGACCCTCCTCCCTCCTTCCCATCCCTCCTTTGCCCCTCCAGTGAACAATTGGAGTCAGACCCTTCCAGATCATTCCTTTATTTAGGAGTTATGCAACTGAGGAAAACAAAATAGAAATAATAATAATAAATAATAATAATAATATAATGTTGGGCTGCTTTTATATATATATATATATTTTTTTTCAGTAGTTGAATAATCAAGGATTTGAAACTCCAAGGTTTTCTCTGCCAGTAAAATGCCTAAAAATAGCCACATTGGCACTGGACAGCTGAGATTTCCTTCAGCTCCAGCTCCACAAGCACCAGAAAACCCAAATCCTGTCAACTGGGATCGTCCCCCTCGTGTCCTCAGCACAGGGAACTGCACGGGGAGACTGGATAATTCCCAGCTGGAATTCCCTCCCAAGGGATGGGATTTTGAGAGGATTATTCCCTCATTCCTGCCTCCCCCACCTCCATCCCAACCAGGAGATGGGGGGGACCTGCCCCAGACAGGTAATTTTGGGCAACTTCCTGAAGAACTGGAGGGGCTGGAGGAAATTCAGGGAAGAGGGATGAGGTGTCTGGGAGACTGGAGACTCCAGGGAGGGTGGGATTGGAAGGCTTGGGCTTGTCTAATCCCCCAGGAAACAGACTCTGACAGCCACAAACCGGGAATGAATCCCAGCCAAGGAGGGGAGCTGAGGGGAAATGTTGGAATGGGTGATAAAACAGGGAAAAGGGCTCTGGATCCATCCAGGCTCTAGTGCAGCTGGAGCAGCACTTGAGATCGGACCCTCCTCCATGATCCTTCATCTCCCCAAGCCTCAGGCTCCTGGAATCAGGGAATCCCAGACTGGTTTGGGTGGGAAGGGCCTTAAGGATGATCCAGTGCCATCCCCTGCCACGGGCAGGGACAGCTCCCACTATCCCAGGCTGCTCCAAACCCTGTCCAGCCTGGCCTGGGACGCTCCCAGGGATGGGGATTCCACAATATCTGGTCTTCACAAGTTCATTTCCTCCATGCCCAGTGAAATCCAGGGAGACCCAAACCCCAACCTGGGGTGGGTCAGAGCACAGGGGTCCATCCTCTCCTTGCCTTTTTCCTGGCACTGGGAAAACTCCCCTTTGGTGACCTCTGGGAACCCACAGGAAGGAATTCCAGGCCCTCATGTCCAAGTCTTCGCCCTTCCCAAGGAGGAGCAGAGGCTGGAGAGGGCCTGGAGGAGGGAATGCCCTCCTGGAGCGCTGGTGGGTGCACGAGCCATGCTAGGCTGCCTCATTCCATGAAATCTGCTTCCCATTAAGGAGCAGCCGCAGCTCTGGAGCCCATTAAATGCTACTTCTCCAGTACCAGGCTTTGATTCCAGCTGTTTGTCTTTATGGACGGGGAGCTGAGCAAGGAAAAGGGAATAAAAGCAAGGAAAAAACAGCTGCTGGGGCGGAGGGTGGAAAAAACCCAGCGGGATCCCAAACACACCTTCCCTGCTCCCCCAGCCCCCTTGGAAAAACCCCTGTGGGTGGATCAGCCTCTCCATCGCCTGGATGTGATGGAGAATCCAGACTGCCTGGTTGGAATGATGGTCCTGAGCTGTGCTCTGGGAAATGTGGGGTTTAACTGCCCTGGGATTGATGGGCTGGAGCAGGGCCGGGAGCGGGGATGGGGATCCTGCATCCCAAAGGCCTCAAAACAGGGATAAATGGGATGAAATGAACCCAGATAGTTCAAAGATCGTTAATTAGGAAGGAATTGTTGGCTGGGAGGGTGGGGAGGAGCTGGGATGGAATTGGAGCAACCTGGGAGAGTGGATTTTGGGATTCAAACACTGCTTGGTTTAAAGAGGGTCCATTTGCCTGTGGTGGAAAAGCGGGAAGGAGGGATCTGTGCCAGCCTGGAGTCATGGAATCCTGGAATGCTTTGGGTTGGGAGGGATCTTAAAGCCATCCAGTCCCACCCCCTGCCATGGGCAGGGACACTTCCACTATCCCAGGCTGCTCCAACCTGGCCTTGGACACTCCCAGGGATCCAGGGGCAGCCACAGCTTCTCTGGGAA